TAGTTAGGTCCTCTACGTTGGTGATTATTTCACGTGCTTTTAGGTTCTTTGATAACACAAGGCAGGAACCATGGTTAATAAACATGTTTGGTTGATGAGTATTTGAGGTTATTATCGCTGCGTTGGGTTCATTCATGGAAACGCAATAGTTGTTTCGTCGGTTAACCAAATCTAGTACATCGGTGGTTGATTGTTGTCGCGTATTAACATTTATATGATAAAAGTACATTTTTGTAAGCTGGGGTTAATGGCTAGATATCGTTCTTATTGCGCCTGCACGCCTCAGCTGTTGGTTCTATGGCGTGCTTTTTAAATGTTGCGTTAGATCTTGAATATAGCCATCTATTCTCATTTTTATTGTGACTTGCTAAGTGTCAACTAGTTTTAATCATGTCTGATTTAACGTTCTTCCCCTTTAGTATTTTGAGTCGATGGAGATCTTATAGATGTCTCGACACTCCGGCTAACTTTTATCACCACCTTCGGACCAATATTTTCCGGTTGAATTCAACTTGGTCTTCTAGTTTTGTTGTTAAAGATACTGTGTTTGACCATTGTGGTGTTACTTATTGGATGCATTACATGTCCTTTAATTATGGTGACACCAAATTGGTGGAATATGGTATCGGTAAAAATAAAGGTTGGTCACGAGATACTTGTGCCTTCAGATTGTTTTTGTTATTTGAAAGAGAGTTTCCGGAGTTTTTAATGGTGAGTGAGAAAATTTCGGATTTTTAAGAAATTTAAATCTCCTAATTTCCCTTTGCTTTCTCTCCTTATATTCTAGCCACCTTATCTTATTGGGTTCCCTAATATTAGGGGACATTGTTACCTGATAGCTGCCGTGTTACCATTATTACATTCCTATCCTTTCATATGGCGATTAACTGAGTCGTTTGGCAGAGCTTCACGGGAAAGTAATTTAGGAATTATCGAAAGTGCGCCTCCACGTCGTGGTAAAACTGAGTCAACTTATTATTGGACTCGAATTATTTATCAGTTATATTTACAATATTACAAAGTGTCATCAACCGCTAGACTATTACAAGTTAATGGTCCTATTTTAGCTAAAAGGATGGAATTAGCACCAATCGTATTTCCACAATATGATGCCAATTATCAACTTGATTTAGATTTGGATCGCGCTCTTGTAAATGGCGTTTGTGCCTCTTTGCGCGATTTTTGTACGAATTTTTACGCCACTCCTGGAGGTTTTGAGGAGGAGGCATATAGTGACATACTATACAAATTGGCATCCGAGGATAATGATTGGATTAAGGAGTTTTTCATTAAGTTTTCTGGAAGATACTCTTGTGGAAGATGTACCAACCTGCCTGTTGAAAGTGAATTCATATTACCTGTAATTCGTTTACCGAAAGATATGACCTTTCAGGAGGGGTTGGAAAATCTAGAGCTGCTTTTTTCTCAACAGAAATTACATTGTAATAATAAAATCGGGGATTATATATGTAATGGAGTTATCAGACGACTGGAGGATGTTAAGACCATTAATTTCCCTAAAATATTAAGTTTTGTTGTGGCTCCTGATCAAGCAGAAAGGTACTCGATTCCTGATGATTTGACTTTGTCAAATTCTGATCATACTGAGGAGTATGTGAGATTTGCTAACAGCAATTGTTTTAGTTGTTGGAAAGTGAAAATAAATAATGTTTGGAATAGTTATGGTGACTTGTATCATGTGCCTGTAGATGGTGATGTTCTTACAGGTTATCATACATATACTACAATGGAAACCACCGAGGGATTCTATGAGAGTAATAATGGTGTGCTTTATACTCCTGATTCTCGATTATTATTGAATGTCACTGCCGGTTCGTTACACTGTTATCAACAAGCAGCTTATAAGAAATTTGTACCTAAGATAAATTTAGAGGAAGTTTATGTTAATCCCGAATTTTAATAAAAGAGTTTCATTTGAACATCGTGTACATTTATGGGGACAATTAGGTTATTACGATTTCAGTTTGCACCGAAGTTCGTTTCCAGTGTTTGGGATAGTGGGGTTAGTACTGTTTCTGTTATTAACCGAAGCTTATTCAATTCGAGGATTGATCGCGTCACAGTTTGTAATTGGGTGGTAAGAAGCATAAATCTTTTCGCAGTTCATACATTGTTTATATTTAGCTTGAGACTGAAAAACTATCTTATTGTTTCCTATGGTTATTGTGAATGAGTTTTTCTTCAATGTTTTGTAAAATATTTCATCATTCGTAAAAATATAATTTCGCCATTGATTTTGCATTTTTTGAGTGATCACAATAAGTTTGGTTTGATTGTTATCAGCCCAAGATTTTAGTTGAGATCGTATATCCATTGTCAGGTGAGTTTGTTGTACCAAATGATACCAGCCAATAACAATTGTTGTTGATTCTTCAAATCTGCATGTCGTCATCTCTTCAATTGTTAGTTTTGATATCGGTGATTTCATGATAAGTTGTTTCCCTCCTTTTTTGGTAGTTAGCTCAATAGTCTTGGATATAGCGTCTTCAATCCTAGATGATGGACGCCAAGTTAAACTCTTTACTAAAATAGCAATTTGAATATCGTCTGCTTCAAGTTCCGGGTCAATAAAATGTGGAATAGTTGCGGCTTTCAGTGTTGAGTCCAAAATTGACATGGCTTCGGTAACATTTTGTATCTGGCGAAAAATATCTTCATCATTTATCCAGCTTGATTTATTGTCTAATTCCAGGGTTAATATTAGTAAGACTCCTCTAAGTATCGTCTGTGTAATATCTTTGCACAATATAATTTCAGTAGGAGTTTTTGATAAGGTATTTTCTACTTGTTGTTTAACTAAGTCCCATTGGTTGTAGCACTGACGGAAAAAATTACTGTCAATTTGTTTTATGAATTCATTGGCACATAAAAACTTTTTAAATTGGACGATGTCCATGTTAAGGCGTTGTGACTTGTTTGAGGGTGTGGTACACGAGTAGTCTTATTTTAATATCGTATCTGATATATCTAGATATCTTGAACGTTATCGATAGTATTTGATAGTTAGTTATAATGGAAACATTTTAATTTATTAACGTTTTATTAAGAAGTTTTTTGGTACAAATTAACGGAATGAGTAATTATGAAATGAGTATTTGTTTATAACATTTGGCATAACTTTAGTTATCAAATTTGGTTTGTGTAGTGTAAGAAATGGGTGTAATGGTGGACTAGCTTTCTGATGGGGTTATGTTATCTGTTCAACTGATAATAAGAATAACAATGTTCATTCGTTGTTTTTAATTGTTCTAATTATTATGTGTGGATGAATTAGCGAGTCTCTTTCTGATGTAGCTAGTGAATCTAACTTAAAACATTGGGCTCCACATAACTTTAGTATATGTGTAGTCGATTGTATTCATTTCTTTGTCGATCGCCTTGACAAAATTAGGACAGTAGATTGTGAACGCTTCGTGGGGGCCACTACAGGCAGGACAACGCAATGTTAGCGAGCTACAAGAAGAGCGTTTGTGAGGTCCGGAGCATCTCAGACAACGTCGTTGTTTACTTGTACAATTACCATGGTTGGACAGACCGCAGTCATAGCACTTCCTGACGTTAAAATAGTCGAGTACCATTCTAGATTTAGACCTAAACCAGATTCTTCCTTGACCTTCTTCAATGATGTAGTCTCTAATTTTTGGGTCAACAATTACGCAGATCACGGTGAAAGGAGTGCCAGGGATTCTATAATGTCTGTGTAGGTCAAATGTAGCTTGGTTGAATTTCTTGAGGTTAAATTGTTTTATCTCTTTGAGGATATTAGGGATTTCAGTCTCCTCAATAGGAAAATCAATTTCAAATTTGATTATTGGTTTACGGAAGCAAGAGAATTCAGCCGTAATATTTTCCTCTGAATTATTCAATATTTCCATAATAATCTCTCTTTGACCATCGTTGTTGCAATTGATGAGAGCATGGTCCATGTTCTCAGTCATATCCGGAATAATACCAAAATGGCGATCACTTCTCAATAATATATTATTAATTTCTCCACGCTTGTAGTCTGGGCCAGTGACGTATACGATCATAGATCTTGGTTTAGGATCCCAATCGAAAATGTGAGAAATGGCTCTTTTTTGGATTTGAAGCTTGAGGTTTCTTGGTTGGGTGATATTAAACAGTTTCTTGGCTTTCTCTTTCTCAGCGTCATCTTTGGCAAGATGAACGCGACTCTCGTCAGTGTCCTCATCAGCGTTTGGATTTGGCTTTTGTCGTTTTGAGTTATTATCATCCGAATCTGTCTTTCTTTTCTTTGCTTCGAGCTTGAGGATGTTATCGACCATAGCTATTACTTTTGAGATTTGTGGAACGTTGACGACAGGGATTTTAACAGTATTGGCATCATACGCAGACTTGATAAGTTTAAGGTTTGTCAGCTTCTCTTGAAGTTCAGTAGTTTCGTACTCTTTGAGTTCGGCTATAACATCCACATCACTAGTATTGTCAGCGAATAACACATTGAGAGTCTGGATCTCATTGTCAAGAATTTCTTGAGTCAGGGCCATAACGGTGAACAATATTTCTTGTAATATCTGTAAAAGGCTTTGGTTAAATTTGGCAGGGATTAGTGACTTTAACTAGTACTCGGTAAATAGTAATGAACTGAATGGTAAAGTGCGCATGGAGGAAGTGTAAAGGAATAAAGATCCTGGCGGAACCACATGGTTTTTTAATTATTGATTGAATATTTTGTTATAAATTAATTTGATTAATTGGTTAGTTTTGTTCAAAAGCAGGGACGGTTGTATGGTCTATGTAGTCTGATTTTAAGGGTCAGGGAATTATCCATCGTATGTTTATCCATTTTCAGTTTGTCCATGTATAGTTTATCCATATGATTATTAGATATTTTTGTACTTACTTTGTTTTGAATATTTTCCGTGTTCATTGACGATGGAGTGATCATAACAGTAATTAAATAGGCCGTTGAATTAGGTGATCATAGTTTTATCATAATATAATCAAATTGTTAGATTTTATCATTTGCAACATTCACAGGAATGAGCTGCAAATAAGAGAGTATGATTAAAAAGATAGACAGAGGAAGGGACAGACAGACAAAAAGATACAAAAAAGAAAGAGATGATGATTGTGATGAGAGCGCTCCCTTGATCCCTCCTCCTGGACGATTCTTGTTAATGTTACCAGTTTTTTGATTCTCAGTGTCACTGTCACTTGTACATTTCACCAATCTCAACACAATTTATACCATTTTTATACCTTTAACCCTAAACAGTTTCAAATTGTAACCCAAAAGTATCAACAATCAAAAGTATACATCTTTTGGTATCTTCTGGTTCACTCAATCATCAGTGTCAACTCTTTGTCATCAGTTAAACTAAGGTATCTTAAACTTGTCTTTACAACGTATATGCTTTTGTTTTTAACCTCTGACTATTCCAGTTACATTTTGTTTTCGTTATTTGTCTGCATTTCTAATTTTCCATCTTTTTATTCTTTTCCTTTTTTGGGTTTTTCAATCCTTTATCATTCATCCTGAGGAATTAACAGCTCATCATGTGGTCAGGAACAGTTGGTCTTGTCAATGGTCAACACAAATATTTAACCGCTGAAACCTTTGGCTATAAAATTAATGCTAATGGTGTTGCCCTTAAGAAGAAACAACAATGGTCTATTGAACCTTTCCCTTTGAATTCTGCATCTAATGGCGCTTCCAATGGAAATGGATTAGATGAATTAGCTGAACTTGAAATTGTTGCCCTTAAATCTCATCTTGGTTGTTACCTGGAGGTTGACAATTTTGGCAATGTCATTTGTGAAAACAAAGAACGATCTGAAGGAGCTCGATTCATCATCAATATTTGTGTCATGTCAAATGAAAAAGGAGTCTGTAAGTAACACTACAACCATGATCAGCGTTAATTGCTGAATTAACCTTAATCAAAATGATGAAAAACCTTCTCGCAACCTTTTCCTAGACGCTTAATCATGTGTCTACACTCGTTGTCAGCAATTATGTTAATCATTGAAAGCAAAATTATGTTTCGTTTGTAGTCTTCATTTTTTTTACCTTTAACTTTAGTGTCACAGGTTATTGATCTGAATTTTATTCTCATGCTTGTTTTCCTTTCTTCTGAAAAATTCTGATTCGACGCGAATTTTTCATTGCAAGGGTTCATTCACTCGATTCTTTTCCTTTTTCATGATCATTATGATCATTTTTTATTCAACTTTTTTCTTCATTTCTCATTTAATGCTGTTGCTTTTATAAAAATTGTACCCTGCTTTGGTTCATTTGCTTGAGATATTTTCTGATCAATTTGAATGGAACCAGCGTTTGGTTGGCAAAAATGATTGCCCAAAAGTGAAAGAATCAACTGTTTATGAGTGTCAATTTTCCAATTTGAATTAATCTTTTCTTCTCTTCTTCTCTCTCTCATAATTTACAATCCCTAATGTAGTTGAGAGCAATACATGCAAGTGAACATTCAATAATTTTCAATGTTAAATTGATTCATTAAATGTTTAAATTCAGTTCGTTACCCGACCAACCATTATGCAGCAACTTTTTTACTCATTATGGCTATACGAGCAGAAAAAGAGACTTTTAAGGTAAATTTAGATTCATCATGGTAATCACAAAATGTCTCAATTGTTTAATCAATTTCAGATATTACTTTAATATGGTTTACGTTGTTGTTTTGCAAATTTGGGTGTATTTGAAAGAGATGAAATTTCAATATTGACAACATCCTCAAAGCTAATGGTCTATGTGTAACAGGAAAGTGGAAATCGTCTTACGAACAGTTTACACCCAAAGCACTTAAAAAGACAAGATGAAGAAGCTCAACCAGATTCAATTAGATTCCGAATATTTGCCCATTTACCTTTTGAGTTGTTCAGTTTCCCTTTCATCCTCTCTCCTTCCCTCATTCCCATCATCAACAACATCATCAATATCTTCTTCTACTCTATACTTATCCTCCTTTTTCAACTCCTTAACCAAATTTATCAATTCCCTTTGAGATTACATGTTGATTTGAATTCCCTATGTGAAGATAAGGAAGACAAGGATGTTGAAGGCAAATTTTTCATCCTGTTTACTTCCTCTGTGTTTCATCATTCACCATGAAATGCAATTTCAATCAATATCTTCATCTTCTGTCATCAGTTATAATTTACAACACAACATATTACATTTGTTTCAAATGTTAGACATCAAATTGGATTAACTGTTTTCTCAAAGTTAATCACGATTAGTGTCAACTAAATAATCAATTAGATTGCTATTTCTTTGTTCACAATTAAACATTAGTTGACCACTGTAGTGCATGTAAACATTTAATCACTACAAGACTTATGTTTCCAACATTGTTGGTTTTTCATATGAAGTCACCTCAATGAAACTCAAACAAATTATTAATTTTATTGTTCAATTTCCTTCTTTTAATTGCAGATTTGTTGAAGTTAATTCTTCACCTACTCTTGTAATTAGTTTAATTCAATTCAGTGAATGAAAACTTAAATTCTGTTAGCAATTAGGGCTTGATTTATGAAGAGAAACACAACAGCCATTAACTAATGTTTGATTTAGTGAAATAATTGTTAGTCTTTTTTGTTTAATTCAATTCCGAAGTTAAATGTTTATTGATGAAACTGTACAGTTATGATTATCAGATTTTTTTGCGCTCATGATTGTTCATGATTAAGGAAATTGATTTCATTTTATATTACATTTGAGCTTCATTTTTTGTCTTTTTTATAACATAAATATTTGCAGATGATTGTTTTGGTTTGTTGAAAGCCTTTAAGAGTTGATTAGTTTGATTAGTTTGATTTGCATGTTATCACAGTCGATTAGTTACAATAGTTGATCTATTTTGATTTGGAATAAAATTCCTTGTCAAATTCAGCAATCATTTTCATTGTCTTATCATCAGCCTTTTCAAGTGATGAGGTGAACCCTTTTGAGTCAATAACACTGTATCCAGGTGAACCATAGTTACTGTTAGGAGCAGCAGCAGCAGCGGTGTTGGCAACATCGACTGAGCCAGTCTTCTTGTGAATATCATGCCATCCATGGTGTCCGTGGTGATCATGGTGATCATGACCGTGATGACCGTGGTGTCCATGATCATTCCATCCATGGTGGCCTCCATCATGCCATCCATGATGACCATGACCATGATCATTCCAGCCGTGTTCGTGTTTGTGTCCCTGTTTAGTTCAAGTTATCATTAGATTTGATTGTTTGCTTATTGATTGTTGTAACTTACATGATGATGCCAGTGATCATTCTTGTGTCCATGTTTGTGGTCATGTCCGTGTTTATGGCTTTGGTCGTGTTTGTGTCCCTGTTAGTTAGTTAACAATTGTTGATTAGTAGATTGCATTATATTGTAACTTATTGTTATTGCTCTTATACTTACGTGTTTATGGTCATGGCCGTGCTTGTGACCGTGCTTGTGCCAGTGATCATGTTTGTGTCCATGTTTATGGTCGTGGCCGTGTTTGTGTCCCTATTAATGAGATGAGATTATATTTAGATTATTGAGATTACAAATTTTAGCGATTTTTATATTTTCTTTACTTACATGTTTGTGGTCATGTTTTTCCCAGTGATCATGTTTGTGTCCATGTTTGTGGTCATGTCCATGTTTATGACCATGATCATGTTTTTCCCAATGGTCATGTTTGTGTCCATGTCCTAAAATTAGTAATAATAATTAGTTCATGACTTTGATTCACAGAGATTTTCATTTCTATTGCTAGAGTTAACTTACCATGTTTGTGTCCATGATCGTGTTTATGGTCGTGTTTGTGTCCATGTTTATGTCCATGACCTATGATGAGAAGAGTAAATGATTAAATAATGATCAAATTGATTGTTGAAAGTAAATGATTATTTCGATGCTCACCATGTTTGTGATCATGACCGTGTTTGTGTCCATGTTTGTGGTGATGATGAGCTTCAACTGGAGCATGTTTGTGGTGGTGGTGATGGTGATGAGTTACCTCTTTCACTTTACACCCATGATGGTCATCATGATGACCCCATCCATGGTGGTCATGGTGTCCATGGTGTCCATGACCATGATGTCCCCAACCATCAAGAGGCTTGATGATAGCGATCTTTGAAATTGATTCTTCTCCTGTTTTCTCAGCTGACTTCTCTAAGGAAGTCTTGCTTGGTACGATTGCATTTACTAATGAAGTAAATGGATTAGCGTAAGCAGGTACTACAATTAGTACTATTAAAGCACAATAGAAGCTAAATTTGCTCATTGTTGAGTATGAGCTTATACACACTGAATTGAAATTAACTGGTTAAATCCTTTTGAAATGTTGTTGTTAGTTGATTGTTGATCAACTGTTGACTGATGATTTATCTCTTGGAATGATCGTATTTTATACTTTTCATGAAAGGTCTCATTTCAACCAGACAATCTGATCGATTGCATACAAATTTAATTGTCCAAATTATATGAGCCACAAAAAACACCAAGAAACGAACGGAATTTCAAAAATCAATTCAGTTTCTTTGAAAAAAAGACTCAACTCAGGTTAATCATGAAGAAAAAATTGACTAAAAAATTTAACAGAAAAGATGCAAAAAATTTCAACTGTTCAATCTGATTAGTTAACAAGCAAAAAGCTTATATTAAATGGTTAAAAACTGAATTAGGAAACAATTGACTTTACTTTTAATCATTACTCTCTGGTAACATTTAACTTAAATCACTTCGATTCTAAATGTCAACTCTTTCACAAAGCGAACGAAAAAAACAGATTTGTCTTAAAAAATTAAGGAATCAAATATATAATTGACTTACTAATTAAAGTGGTCAACATCTTAAACAATAGCTTAATGGTTGACAAATTAATTGAAAAGTTAATTCTGTATCGTCCATTAACAATTGCTGACCTAAAAGTGTCGCAAATACGAGAAAGGCACAAAAGAGGAAAAAACATCTGAACCCAAAAAAAGGTTAAAACAATATGAAACAAAGTAATTGATTAGCAAATTGAAAGCCTTCCGTTTCCAAGTAAAAAATGTTCATTTAAATTGTATTCCCCTAATTTTACCTAAATCCTGTTTAGTCTTTGCTCACAATTTAATAAATCATTTTTACTCAGAAATTAATATCAACTGTGGAAAAGATTTTGATTGAAATTTCGATCAAGACTTATAATAATTTCAATGAAATCAAATCAAATGACTTCAATGAATGAGACTTCAACTGAAAATTGTTTATGCTTTATGCTTTTACCTTTGTGCTTTCCTATTGTAATATTTTGTGAAGATGATGACAAATTTGAAGGGCCAGTTTAGCAAATGACCTCAACTATTTGATGCTTTCAACTGCTAGAGTAGAGTTAACAATTGTTACATTAAATTACATGGTTTTCATGTTGACCAAAGTATACATTTTGTTCCCAAAACAAAGCAAAATGAGAGCAACTTTCCTTGTCTAATGTTTTTTTCCCACGGAAGTGACCTGGACCTGACCTAGTCTGTCAAGAAAGAGGACACCAATGTCAATGTTGACCCAACTATGAATGGACCGAGAAAAATGGACTAAAATATTTCCAGTCCTTGAAAGGGCTTTCATTTAGACTTTGACTTACGGTCAATTGATGGACTTAAAATTAATTGATTGTCATCAATTGTCTTGACAAACTGAAAATTGAAGTTAAAATGATTTTACCAAAAATCAAAAATAACCATTTCGTTGACTAAAGTATAGTTTGAAAATGTCGATTGAAATATTTTGAGCAATTTATTGTCAAACGTCTGCTTTTAGTTCATGATTAACATGTTATCAATAAGATGAATTGTCATTATTTCCGCCATTATTTTGCAATCATGATGGTTATCAATGGTCAACTCATTTAACCTAATTGATTGTTTACTATTTATCAGTCATCTGTTGAAACGTAAATTATAATCAATCATTGTAATCATCATGATCATCCTTGAAAAATAGATCAACTGAAATTAATGGCCAAAATAAAATACATGTTTAAATAATAATAGAATCAAGAAAAGTGTTTCTCTGATTTTTGTCATGATAATAGTGTTATTGTTTCCTTCAGCTGAATATTTGCTGCTAACTTGATGTTTATTGATCATTCATTTGGAGCAATTTTTGGCAACTTTTTTCTGCTGTAAATAAATAAAAACTTAATTTGATTATTATGTTTTACTGAGTAATTAGTTGCTACTTAATCTTACCCTTGAACAGTTGAAGATGGTAACGCTCATTTTGATTACCTAAATTGTAAACCTTTTGCTTGAAATAATAATCACTTTTCTGGTTCACTTAACTGAAGCTTTGTGTCTAAAAATAAATATGATTCAATGATTAGCATAATGATTAGCATTAATTAGTCGCTTCTTTACCAGGTCAACAGGTAAAGTACAAACAATCAGCTAATTCATTGTCATACTGAATCAGTCAAGGTTAAACGAAACCAATTGAACCATAATTGTTGATGGTTTAATTTGATAATTGTTTTCATTGATTAACAAATAATTTTGTTGAGAAAAAAAAATCATTTTGATTGACTTTTTTATTATTTAATTCATAAAGTAATGTTTTCTGTTTTACTCTTGTTTTTCACTTTTCCTTAGCTTCCATCTATTGGGCTTTCCGTAATATTTCACGAGGATATTATTTAGGAGCGACCGGCGATGGTATGACTTGTTGTGTTGCCAAACAACCTCAATCACGAGCTGAACTGTGGCACGTTCATTTGGTCCCAGCTCGTGGAGCAACCATGTTTGCCCTTAAATCGGTTGGCCGTAAACGTTATGCACGAACCCAGGCTGTGGAAAGCAGTCAAAATGGTACTAACAACAAGCCCAGTGAACCAGTTGAAGAGCAGGTACAAGTGGATGCAACTACACCTTGGGGCTCAGAAACACTGTTTCAATTTAAATATTATGAAAGTGGACGTTATGCTCTATTAACCTCAACCTGTAAATATTTGACCAGTGAAGGAAATTGCATTGAATTTAAAGGAATCTCATCGACCAATGGATCAAATGGTTCCAATGGAGTTGCTGCCAAAATTGCTGGCTTCACCAATGGATCATCACCGGCTGCTTCAAATACATCCGCTTTACCACCAGCTGAGTGTCTTTTTACCATTGAATACCATGGTGGGTTCATTGCATTCCGTGACATTAATGGACGCTATTTGGCTGGAACTGGACGTTCCTCAGTCCTTCGCACTCGATCAAACAATGTTTCTCGTGATGAACTGTTTACCTTTGAAGAAGCTCCCATTCAAATTGCATTAAGAGCTGGTTTCAATAATAAATGGGTCAGTGTGAAGCAAGGTAGGTTTACCAAACTCCAATCAGATCAACTGATGAACAAATAGCCACCATGAACCGCCATTTATATCGATATTTTAAAAGCTCAACTTCGATGACTTGAAATATTGAATTTCATTTTGTATCTGATTCAAATTTTGAGCTTATTTTTAGATAAATTGATGAGGGTAAATTGTTTTCAATTGTTACTGTCAATCTATATATTTGACTTGATACATTTCAATCCAAATTGATCAGGCTTTTCAAACAATTGACATTTCTATCTCAACAAGTCAATGTAAGGTCAAGTTTGTGTAATGTTTTGGTTGGGAGACAAACTTTCACTTGGCAAGTATTAACGAGTCAAACCGGCATGAAACCTCGTTCCGAACTCATGAGTCGTTAATACTGATGGGGGCAACTCAGGCCAAAATAATAATAAAGCCAGTCTATTATCATCGCTACTTGCTATTGTATCTACTATTATTAGTATCATTTACATTATCGCTCATTGTTATGACACGCCATCACATGTGAATCGTTAATCGTTATTTTTGCCTAACAAATAGGGAGATCAGTATTACTTTGAATCCGATGAAGAAACAATTGCATGTTTAATTGAGTCTCAATTGAAAAGGTTTGGTTACCTTACAACGGATCAATGAATTTGACAGTTTTCAACACTCCTTATCAAGTGAAAACAACCTGTCAAAAAGGTAAATTGTTGACAATTACTTTTAAGGCCTTTTAAAATTAGTTTTAACATTCATTTGTTCCCTTAAAAATAACTACATTTTACTTTTATATTGAAACCATTTTAACATTTTCACTTTCACTATTGCATACATTCATAAATGATTGACAGTCAAGTCATTGTAACTTTAATTGTAACCTCAGAAAACAATATTTCACCAATTTTCTTCTATATTTGTTTTATTGTAAAATTGAATGCATGTTAAATTGATGTTATCATGAAGGAAACATCAGATTTTTCATGTGTAAAAAGAAAGATGGAAAATTGATTGACAAATCCAAAGTTAATCATTCACATAACCAGAATAAACCTTTGATCACTCATGTTATCAATTGAAACCGACAATCAGTTAGTGAAATGAATTTCCATGTATATTAATATGATTAAGTGATAATTTTTCAAGCTTCATCAACCTATTTATCAACTCTGGTTTAAAATTTGCTTAAAATTTTTACAGATGTTGATTAAAATGGTGTATCAGCGTTCACTCAAATAATCAATTCCATGCCGATTTTGATTTCAATTTTCCTTTTATCAGTTTCCTGGACAACATTACAACATAATTAAAATGTTATTGATTTCCGTTTAACTATGAAATTATATTCTGAAAACTTATCAATTGAAATATTCAATATTGATATTCAAGGTTGACTTGGTTTCTAAGCTATATTTTTAGCTCTTTTAGCTTAATGGTAATTTGGTTGTTGATTTGATTGGTTTGTCTGGTTAAAAGTTTCAAGTATGTTTATTGATGGTTCCTTGTGGTTTTATTTTAGGTTATTTGTTTAAAATGTTGATCTGGTCTGAGCTGCACAATTTCAATCAACACAGTTATTAATTTTGACTATCTTTTCTGATCACAGGAGTCGATTTGTCTGCCAATCAAAATGAAATTACTACTCAATTTGAAACCTTTCAACTTCAATATGACAAAGGTAATGATACTTGGCACATTTTAACCAAAGATGGCAATTATTGGGCTCTCGGTGCTGCATCGACTATCCAAGCTTCATCTCGTGATGAAAAATCTGGCTTACACTTTAAATTGAAATGGAATGACGATGGAACCTGTTCAATCCTTTTATCCTCTGACCCAGGAGCATCTGAAGATGACATGAAATGGATCTGTAACCGTAAATCCGGACAACTCTGTATTGGAACCTCTGATCCAGTTAAATTTTATCTCATGTTCCGTAATCGAACCTCACTTAACCTTCGATCCATCTCTGCAAGTGGTTTCATTGGACTTAAAGGGCCTGGCTCGGGTAAACTTGAATCAAGTAAAACAAGTCCAGATTCAATTAAAGTTGAATACTGTTCTGCTGAAGGCGTTGGTGATTCCGATGATGATGCACCATTTTCCTGTTGTTTTTTCAAAATGCCGGTCAACAATAAATATTGGTCCATTGTTGATGCAGGATCAGTTGCTTGTGACTCTTCATCACCCACTTGTGCCCAACGATGGGTCATGGAGCTGCGAACTGGATCTTGCATTGCCATTAGAGCTTATGAAACTGGATCTTATTTGACTCTTACAGGCCAAGGAGCTATTCAAGTTAGCAATGTAGCATCAAAAGATGCAACTCTTTGGGAATTTTAAGGCATCAAAAGAGCTTAATTGAAAATGGACCCAAAAATGTATCCAAAAGGTCCAATCAAACTTGTTTTTTTTATTACTTTCAATTTATAAATCACCAGCATCGATTTATGACAATTCAGCAATTATGAAAAGTTTAATTTAAAGTCACTAGAATTGCAATGAGTAACCTTAATCGACTGAACCAGTGACCAGGATAAAGACTTGTTTTGGGTTAATTCAATTTCTACGTGCTATTCCAAATCATGATTTATCAGCAATTTGCCAAAAAGACTTAACAAAGCACTTACATTATTGAACAATAATAATTGAAAAGAGCGGACAAATTAGACAATTTATAAATTATCTTTGTATGGTGCAAGGGACAAAGATAACTTCCATTCATTACATCGTTCCATCTTTATCAAATCTTTGGCCGTTTACGTTTGTTTACTCATCAATTTTACACCCTTTTTGCATACATCAACTCATGATGCCAAGGAAACTGATAATTCTGATTTTGCTAACATTGTTTTTTTCATACCATTTTTAAACGTGATCTTTTTAACAGGCAGTCGAACTTTGTATTGTAATTTGACTATTCTTTTGCCTGAAAAATAGATTTTCAAATTTTCTTTTGATTGCACACATTTACAGGACGATTCAAAACTTAAATCAATTTCATGATGGATATTCCTCTTTTTTACATCAACTCTAATATTCCTGATATATTACTTTGTAGTGTTTGCTTAATCAATTTCAGTACGATCTGTTATTACAGTAATTATCCCTTTCTATCACGATAAATCTTTAAGTAACTGATCTTATGGCAATTTAACCTGAGATATATCTTATTAGTTTATGGTATTACTTAATAAATAAAATATCTACTTCCAATTGTCTAAATTATCTCACATTTTTCAGTATAAATCAATGCATCTAAATTAAGCCCAGAAAATGATTGGATCAATCACAATTATTTTCATTAGCTAGCAACTGAAAGCCAATTCATTTGAGATTATGTTGCTTTCCCAGTCAATTTCAATGTTTATCACAAGCTTTACCTCATCATTTTGAAATCAAGTCCAAATGAAGCCTGTAATTAATAGTCTGATAAATGAATTCAATAACATTTCAACTCCCAGATGATTTGAAATCAAGTTATAAATAAACAATTTGTTTCAATGTTTGGGTCCCATTCAAGTGTCACTTTCAAGTTTGTATGGAATCAGAATTTCTCATTTTCGGTTAAATTGTAAATTTATTTGGTTTAATAGACATAATTATGATTGAACATTTGATATGCAATTCAAACAATTTTGAATGTATTAATAACAAAGAGTAACATGATGAACAAAAACAGAAGCTTAGCATAATCATTTCAATCGTAACATTTTAGTTTGATTGTAACAATTTCAATGATGATTGGTGCATGTTTGGTTCAAATGATTGGAAATCATTGCAGGTACAGTTTAGGCAATTTAAAATAACCAAGCAAACCAACATTTAGAAAAAACAAAAAACAAAATCTTAATCATAAAAATCATTAGGAAACCATGATTATCCGAGTTTCAAAATGTTTTATAATTCATGCAAGCCATGTTAATTATATTATTTCTGCCTCTTCAAGTGATATTTATTGTAATATTTATATCTCAACTTTCTCTTATGTATATATATAACATAATAGCAATAATATTATAATTGTTATGCAAATAAAATTGATAATCAGAGTTTTAGGGCAACAAAAAGAGAGCAACATTAAAGACTTTAAAAGTAATTCAATCCTTTTTTTTCGCTTGGCGATTTATCAAACATTTGCTGCACTTTTCCTGTTTAGAGCATTATCTCGACCTTTCTTCCGTACTTCATCGGTTCTTAGGGTAATACCAAAAATGTCTTCATGATATCGATTATCAGACCGAAGATACATTATAACACTATCAGGATCTTCATAACCAGCTTCAGATAAAAGTTGCCTCAAGGTTTGGCAGACACCTTCAGCCATTGAAACATCACCACAAACGTAAAGATGGCCTTTCTCTTTCATTAGTTGATGGAGAATCTCCCCAGCTGCTGTTCGAAGTTCATCTTGGACATATCGTTTAGGTTGACCTTCAACCCGAGAGTATGCGACTTTTACACAGGATAATACCTTTTCTTTGGCCATGAAGCGAGTTTCATCGGCATAAAGTTCCATTAAAGGTGTTCGACAACCAAAATATAGAGACATTTTACCAAAAGATTTTTTAAGTGAAGGATTGGTTAAACCATCAGCATAGCGTTCAAGCCAGAAACCTCTGAAAGGTGCAATTCCGGTTCCCGGTCCAACCATGATAACGGGAGCTGAGTGGTCATCAGGCATTCTGAAATTGGGTGCACTGCGAAGGAAGCCAAAAACTTGATGTCCATCTTTAATGTTGGCCAGGAAGTTTGAACAAACACCATAATGTTGAGCTCCTGATCCGGTAGTGTAACTAACAACAGCAACAGTTAAATCAATTCTGATGGAATCACTTCGATGACCATCAGCTCCAGTCTGCTTGTTATTTGATCCGCTCACTGAATTTCCAACTCTTTGTTTACTTGGAATAGAATTATTTGATTTATCTTTGTAATTATTATTGTTGCTATCATTAATATTGTTATTATTGTTATTAACAGATGTAATAAAGTTATTAAGATAATTTGTAGCGTTGTTTGCAGTGTTTTGATGGTTTAGTTGATTATTGTGGTTAGATGATGTTTCAAAACCGGTAAATTTTGAAAATAAACTAAACAAATTGAGAGTATCTTTACATAAAGTACCCGGCCGGCGAGGACTTCCAGAAATATCGACTGAAGATTGATCAATAAGAAATGATGAAGATGAATTGTCAGTAGATGAAATTGGAGAGTGACCATTTGTTGATAAAGAGTTTTGTACAGATGATAATGATGATGATGCTGAAGACGATATAATATTGCTGTTAATATTATTAGTATTGTGAGTGTTGTTAATGATGTTATTCGATGACGATGAAGAAGAGGATGATGAAGATGACGATGATACTGACGGTGATATCCAATTATAATATTTATTAGAAGATGAGATTGAGTAGAATCGAGGTTGAAGCATGGGAAGTTGGGTTAAAATTATTTCTGCTGGAGGATCGAGAGAGTCAAATTGTGTCAATAATTCAAGAAGATTAGGATATTGGTGAGCTTTCCATTCTTCATAGCGTTCACTATCGTTGGCCAATTTTTCCATTAAACTTTTCTGTCCATTGTCTTTACAGAAAGATGACAGTAAACTTAAGAGTTGCTGAGTTGGCGGTGTAGTTATGTCCAAATAACGGGTTAACGCTTCTTCAATTGAACACGATGGCAGCTTTTCATGAGGTACGTATTCAATGTTATCGTTGTTTCCATTGTCATCGTTTGATTTACGGACCATAATTTGATAGACTTTGGTGAAATCAATTTTATTCAAACGAGACATTATTCCTTTAACCAAAGTAACTGAATTTTCCGGGAAAATTCCCAAATGGTCACCAGGAGAGTAGGTTAATGACACATTTGTTTCCCCATTTTTTTGATTGCCAATCAAGTGACCATTTGGCTGCTTCTGGGTTGATGAGATTGAAGTTGAATTAGTGGTTGATGTAACGGTTGATGAATCAGTTGATACAATAGTTGATGTCGTTGTTGATGTTGCCGTTGAAGATTGTTGATCCCCAAGCAATTTAACATATTGTTGCTTATCAAGTTCAAGTATTACTCGAATAGTTTGCCGTTGTTTATCACCTCCCCTGTGAAGGTTAATAGTTGATGCCAAGTGAAATGGTATTACCTTTCGATTAGAGCTTTTAGCAAGAGCTGAAAAAAAGAAGAGACGGATTGAATGATAATTTACAAGTAAATAATTTAAAGAGAAATATTTAAGAAAAAAAAAGAGTTAAAACTGGAAATTTTCATTGAAAAATTGGGTAATAAAATAATTTCCTTTCCAATAATGAATACTTATTTCTCCATTAAGAGCTTCTTTACTATGAGATTTGAGTCTTTTCCCTTGCTTATTCATTCATGGTTTTAATATAAACCTGAAGATTGCTATCAATCTCAATTAAAAGGCTGAAGTTTTCAGATTTTTCTGGTCGTCAAAATTTCCTTTGAATCTCTCTCTGTTTAAGCACAATCTTGACGGTAAAATCACATAGTTTTTAATGTTCATTGCGACACAAAATCAGGAATTAAATTAGATGGAAGAAAGTTATGAATGTTAGAAACTGATAAAATAATTTATGAAATTGCGAATGTTTTGTTAATTTAATGTGAGTATGTTTCTGTTGTACCCAGATTGATAAGACTGTCAAATTTTTGATAATAAATTGAAGTTTAACAATCTAGAAGAACTGGATTTTGTGTTTTAAAGTCATTTAATAGCTATTATATTGCTTACCTTTGGCAACATCAGTTGATGATTTAGGGCCATTTGAGGTAACATTTAAAGGCACCAATTTAACACTTTGGACTGACCATATTTTAGGTTTAAGTGTTGCTGTTTTCATAACATCATTCATATTAATCTCGTCGGTGAGACAAAAAACATTACAAGCTTCTGCAAAAACATCTTTCGCCCATTGATTAAACGATTGCTCTTGACCACACAATTCATCACCAGTGATCAATTTAAATATACGTTCACCGCCGAGTTCACCAAGCATATTGTCAAGATACTTGGCAAATGCACAAAAATTGGGATAAGCACTTGACCCCAAACCAAAGACAGCAAATCTATTTAGCAGGGAAGACAAATTAAAAATTAGAAATGATATTCAGAAAATAAAGAATTAATTTACTAAATATTGACTTTACTCTAAATCAAGGTTTAACTTATAGGTTAAATGTTACTTATTCAATCCATTTATCTTGTTCAATTATATTGAAGTAAAGGAAAACAAAATTATATTAGTTGCAATTCATTTTACCAGATAGCAATAATAGAAATTAATTAATTGTATTTGTTACTGAATTTACCACCTTTGATCTTACAAGGGTATCTTCATCTCATGCAAACTGATTGATGCATTTAAATGAAATTACAAATAGCTTTGTAAGATGATCATTTCACAATTCAAACAATTAATATTTGATTAAAATTAGATTTTCTTGAAGGCTTGAAAAGGCTTGTTTACAAAACTGAGAGAACAGACAAATCCAATGCAAAACCAAATGTAAATGAAGATGAAAATGTCAAACAATTGACTCAACCATTAACCTGGTTGCTCACTTTTACAATCATGTTCAGGAATTGAAATCTCACCTTCGTCTTTTGCTTCGACAGAATTGTTTATAAGCTTGATAGGAAGTGAAATGGCCATTTGATTGAAATGAAGTTTCACTGGAAAAAAAACAAAAAAAATCATACAAAATAAATGAGAAAAAAATAAAAAAAAGAAAGGGGAAAATGCCAACAACAACTAATTGTGAATCCTTTTACATAAATTAACTCTTCATCTACAATTGAAATATTTGATGAAACCTTATTCATAATGATATAGACTATACAAAATTGGGTGCCAAAAATGGTTGTTTTGGTGGCCAAATGTGATTACCCATTATCATTATACAAACACAATAGAGTGAAAGGTTAATAATTTGAAAATCGATGAGCAACAAAGATACCAACTGCACACAGTAAAATCATTTCTTATTGATAGGATTCATTCAGATTCAGTTGACATCAATGTATGGATCCATATAATAAAAAATCCTACAGCAAAAGGGTAAACATTGTTTGTTGAAGAATCAAAGATGATGATGACAATGAGGACGATGATGAACTAATAGAGAAAAAAACTGATACCTTTTGGTTATCTCTGTTTTCTTGAAATCACTTTCCTTAAGAAGTTTACCATCTTCAAGTATTATTTTAGAGGTTACATCAGATTCCAATTTGAGCTTCTCCAACTCCAATGAGTTTCCATTGTGTATACTGGATTAAAAGTTATATTATTACACATCGAGTCAACTATTTATTATAATCGCTGAGTAGGAAAAAAAGAAAGGAAAGAAAGAGAAGGAGAAAAGAAGAAAAGGAAGAAAACAAAACAACAAAAAACCAACAAGCTAACATTACAACTTGTTTAGTTTCCTATTATACATTTATAAACATATAAAAATATCCTCTATTATTGTAAATTAACAATAGAAATCTTTTCTTCCTCTTCACTTTCAATGGACAATAATTAAGCAACAATTAACACAATAATATAAAAAAAATAATCAAAAAAAACACCAAAAGAGCAAACAAAGAAAACAAAATTGAATCACAAGATGAACACCATTGGAAACGGGTTAACGGTTACTTTCAAATTGGGGGCGCAATTTATGAAATTAAAACACAGATTGAACAAGATAAATTTCATTTAGTTTACCATTTAAATCCTTATTACCTTGCGGCTAAATTATGACCATTTCTTATTTCCGATTTTACCTCCAACCCAAACATAAAAAAATAAATACAAATAAATATGTGCATAAATAGACATGGTAAAGTTCAATAAAAAAAGTATGAGACTTTTAACAGAAACTGAATAAACAGATAACATGTTAAAAGAGTTACCATTTAAACCTTGATTTTTAAATTGTTGACAAACAATTTGGTCAATATTAACATTCAAGATGTTACATTAAGATATTGATACCTTATATTGCTTAAAGGTCCAATTTGAGACGATCCAATATCATTTGGCGGTGTTTCACGTCCCTCGTATGATCCCAATGTTGATATACGCAACAAGGACGTTGAAACACTCCTGAAATGAACACAATTTACGACAAAAAAACAAGATACAAAATATAAATAAACAGTTGAAATGGACAGTTAACCGGACAATTGACATGTTAAAATAGACTTGAGGTTAACTTGAAGACGAAAGGTTGACTTTAAGTTGACAAAAATAGAAACTGGTCAACTCTTGATCAACCCAAAGACAGGTTAGGATAGAGAATTGTGTTAACAATTAAATGAAGGGAAAATTGAGGAAAAGATGAAAATTATGAGTTACCTGACACTTTCAATATCAGGTGTAGTATCTCCAGTAACCTTGATTGCTTGCAATTGTCGAGCAAAAGATTCACCATTTTCTGGTGGATCGCCATTACCAAAGGTACTGGTAACAATTAACAGAAGCGTTTCATGTTCCAATTGAAAAATATCATATGAATCCATACACATTACCTGAAAGTGTAAAAACCAGAAAATGTCACCAAAACAAAAGGTTAGTAAACAAAGAGAAACATTTGAATAAATTTATCATTTGAAACAATAATGAATTTCAAGAATAATTAATATCTTTTCCTTATTTGAAACAATGGACAATATTTACCGTAACATTGAATGCAAATGAAAATATTTGCTCCAAGCGTTTTGCATATTCCTCTGATCGTCCAGTTTCGGTTGCATAAAGTATGGTTGCTTTAACACGCTTTGAAAGCGCTTTACCAAACAGATTAGATGTAAATTTAACTGCTCGAGCAATCTCTTTGAACTTTTTCTTTCTCGCTTGAACAATTGATTTTTCACCATTCGGTGAAATATTCCAAGAATGTGACTTCCATGCTGGTTCCTATGAGTATAATAATAAACAAACATCAACATCAAGTGAAACATCATCAACAACAATGGTTTCAAACAACAACCCAAAAAACTGAAGACTCAAGATGCAACAAAAAAACAACACCAAGAGTAACATCAACAATAAATAAACAATAAAGCTAAAACAAAAAGCTTTCTTGGCTCAATAATAATGATAATAGTAATAATAATAAACATTATAATGGATTCAATGGTCAACTTGAATGATATAAAAGGTAAACCAGAAAAAAAAGATTGATAAACTGACTTTAAAAATATGATTTTACCAGATTTTGCCTGTCTCTCGACTCTCAACGTTTCTCATTTTAATCAACTTTACACGCTTCTTATTTCATTTAGATGAACATTTTCCTTTATATTTAACCACAATAAAAGGCAACAACAATTAACATTACAAAGTAATCCATTAAAAACTGTATCCAGTCAAGAGACTGTGAAAAGTGGAAACTTTCAATGGTAAGAAATGGTTAAAAATGTAAAAAAATCATGTTAATGTTTTGGGTTATTTTTTTGTTCTCGGCAAAACTTGCGATTAACCAAAAATTTTTGGGTCATTATTTTTGACTTTCACCATTATAATCATTGTTTTAACGTTTAAATCATTAATCATTAAGCTAATTGTTAAGAGACAGAAGAAGTAAATTAAGAAGAAGAAAGCAAATCAAACTAATCACTGTTATCATGAATGTGGTTTTATTAATCAACAGGGATTTTTCAACTCCAACCATTTCAACAAATTGTAAGGCAACCTAATAATCATAATAGATTCAGTCAATGAATGATAAAAAAAGAAGCTTTTCTTGTCCAGTTTTTTTCTCTCTTCCCTCAAAATTCATATTGATGGTGTTATAGAGGATATCAAATGAATATGTCTCAATAAGTTTGAGAATAGATTCAGGTTGAGTCTCAGTTATAATGATAATGTGTTGAGTGTGTCTATTGAGGAAAGTCATGAGATTCCGGAAGTCACGAGAAGTGTGAAACTGAGCAAATAAGGAGTGAAAAGAAACGTCACATTTGTATAATAAAACGTTGTTATAATGATAATAGTAATGATGATAATAGGCAACTGGATTGAGATATTAATATCAGGTAAAGATGGTATTATTGACAGAATAACATAATTTAGTCAAAATTATAAATGAATAATGGTTAACTAATCAAGAGGTGTATCAAGAGTAAAGTCAATCATTTGGAGTAACAATCAGAATCAAAGTAAAAACATGTTCAAATTATTACCATTTGTGTCTCTCAATTTACTTATTAATCCCAAAAGCATTTTAAATCAATATTAACCAACTGAAGAGACAAATCACATTTTAAGATTCACTTGCAACAAAAACTGGTTATTGTACACCATTTAACCAGAATCTTTACCCTTCTCATTGATAATGATAATAATAATGACGGCATAACATTAATAACATTCAAACCAACACGGAGTGATAAACAATGTAAATGTATTATTTAATGAGATTCGGGTTGAGACTTAAACAATTGGGTTTTGGGTTGATGTTGTTTTTGTTTCCCATCCTTACCTGATATTCAAAGCTTGGTTTAAGTCGATAGTCAATCATTTCTTGGTGAAAAACTGGAGTTAAACTTCCAGCTGTTGGCGGTACAATCCAAACCCAATCAGCTGGACAACCACCTCTTAATCTTTGCTCATTTTCAAGGTGTTTCATGAATGATTCAGCAGCTGTATGATGGTCAACAATGGTAACACCAAGTTTCTGGTAACTGTCAATAACTGCTCGATTAACCTCAACAAGAGCTGCATCTTTCCATAGAGTCATGTTTGATCGAGTATCTAAACCCATTTTATCAGCCACAGTCTAGAGGAGAATCAAAAAATGAGGAAACAAATTAATATTAAAATTGGTTAATTTTGTTGTTAAAAGATTTGCTTGTCTTTTAGGTTAATAATCACATTAAAAGTAACCCAATAAAGATGGTTAATCATTTACAATAGCAACAATCATCACAAAATCAAAGGTAAACACAATGTTAAAATTGTTTTCAGATCAACCTTTACAAAGTGAAAAGACAAACAGTAAAAGATGCAAGCCTAATCTAACTAATCAGACATCACAATCGAGGAATTTGTCGACGAAAAGTTTTGGGCCAAATGTTTCAATCTAAATTCCCATCTTAATCGTATATAATAATGATAGAGTTAAAGTAAATTAAAGGTCAAGAATAGAGTAAAAAAAGCAAGTCAAGTGAAAATGTTGCTGTTTTATTTTCCCCTAATAATTATAGTAAACTTTCAGTTTGGGTTTTATCACAAGAAACAATCCAACTCATCATCATTAACATTAACATTTAATCTTGTCTTGCATTGTCATGTATTCCTAATCAGAATATAATCAGAGTCATGTTGATGTTAAAAAGAGGTTCCAATTCAAGTCAACTGATATCAATATTATCATACAGATCAACAATCATGTTATCCTTTGCTCTTGATAGGTAAACCATTTAAGCTGTAGCAACAGAGTTGAGGTTAGTCACAAAAAGGGATTACAAGATAGAGGAGCAAAAAGCATCTCCAATGATCCTGAAAAGATAGCAAACGATTTCAACGTTAAAATATACATTCTTGTACAATACAGATTCTTATGCATGATCAACATGGCAAATGAATAAAATTTGCGATTCTTCTTGTTCCAAGAGGTAGACCAATGGTAAACAATGTCGCATAATTCATTACATTTGCTCATCTTATTGATAAACAACAAGGAAAAGACACAAAAAGAATGGAAAAGTGATTTTCATTTGGACTCTACCTTTTACCTTTTTAATGCATAAAAAGGAAGAAAGTGAAATCCTTTTAGATCATTTTACCCTTTTACCCATCATCCTTTTTACACACAGCAAATACCTTTGTTCATTAATGAAATTCAAAGTGCCTCTTCTCAACCAATCAACACAACATAACCAATGAATCCTCCTTCTTCATCATCCATTCACTTGACTTGACTTACGAATAAAAGTTATCATTGAGAATCCAGAAAAGGTAATGCCTTTCAAATGAGATGTAATTCATTTGAATGATTGGGACAAAAGGAAAAGCTTCACTAAAATAATGGCAAACAGTTTCAATCATTTCAAACAATCATATTTATATCTTTAAAAAAGTAATATCATAATCAAGTCACACCTTTAATAAAACCCTTTGTCATTTAACCTTTCAATTTACTGCTCAGGTAAACATAACAAAGGTTCATCTGACAATCAAATATAATTTAAAGTAAAAAATGTTTCCTTCAATTTGATATTCCAGCAAAATTTTACCCAAAAAATTTGAACCCAAAAAATGGATTCTCATAAGAAAACGTTTATTGAAAAATGAATCAAAATCATCACTCGAGGCACTTGTCTGTTAATGAAAAGCAATTTCATCAAGACTTCACCGAAATCTATACTAAATTGATTCAAATGATTATCTTGATCAATTATTAAGTCCATTCAGAGATTGTTTTCAACTGTTCATTTCATGCAAAGGTAAACAATTTTTGTTTTGTATTCGAACTGTTGATTCAGCAAAAAGAGCAGCTCATTTGAATTAACCCAAAAATGCTGTTTTATTGATCAAATAGACTGAAAAAATGCATAAAATGTAAAAGTATATCAATAACAGTTGATAACAAAAAACGATTTCAATTGGAATCGCAATTTGAGGCAAAAATGAGGTGCAAAAGTAAAGCAAGAAAAGTTAATATTTTTGTTTGTCAAATGAATAACAAACGAGAGTAAATATTTTCATTCAAATTGAATCTATTTTTTGGGAAACTGAATTTGCAAACTCGATTTGACAGAAGAAGAAATTGTGAAAATGATGATCATTCCAATTGTTGACCAGTTTACTGTTAATGGTCAATGTTTGATGGTTGCAATGTATTGATATAGAATGAGTTGAACAACAAAAGTACATATTTTTAATGTTACATAAAAAGTGGAAAAAAGGTGGAAATCAATTTGAGTTGTGATCAATTTACCAAATCATGATTTCCAGATAAATGATGGCTTAATGATGATCAACAAATTGTTAAGCTTTGTAATCAACTTTAATCAATGTACACTGAAAATGGATTGAAAATGGACCCAAAAAAAAAGGAAAGTAACTTTGAAACAAATAAATTGTAACTCAAAGAGATTCATCTTTAACTTTCTCAGATTCACTCATCCTCATCATCTTCATCATCTTCGTCTTTTCGTAACATTTCATCTTCTTCTTCCTCTTTCTGTATCTTTTCCAGTCTCTCTTGTTCCAGGCTTATTTGCCTTCACTCAATTGTCTTGTCAACAGCTTAATGGACAGTAAAGAGTCAGTTATAAAGAGTCACCAAATAGCCACTTGAATTGGTCAATCATTTCAATCCAATCAATCATTTCATTTTATCCATTTTCATGGGATGATCCAAAGTCAATGGTAAAAAGTGAAAACATTAACACGTTCATGACGCTTCAAACTAATCAATATCGAACAGAACATTTATATTCAAGCAAAAATTTCGAATAAATTTTTTTCCATTTTCTCTAAAAAATTTTCTCATCTATTGACATTTGTAAAATTACATCAATTGTTGACCAAAAACAAACGTATTATTACAGTAAATAGCAGTTGAAGTAAATTAGATTAACTTGAGTTTCAATTGTTACCATTAACTTCAATGACAACCGAGTCTTTGATCGACTTTTCATTTTAAATTGTTGATTAATTGCTTGGCTACCAAAGATGATTGTAAATATCATTTCACTGTTTCCTTAGAAAATTGTTTTCCAGAAAAATGTCTTTTCTTATGATCACACTTTTTGGTTTATTCATGATTAACAGGTTTGTATAACCATGAAAAAGCTGGTTATGCTTTGATTGTAATTAATCCATTCTTAATTAGATTGCCATTTTTACCTGATTAACCTTGTCAGGTAAGGAAACAAGAGGTTAATCAAAAGGTAAACAATTGTAATTACTTTCTAGTTGAATAAACTTTTCATTATAACATTAAAATGATTATAAACAATTAATTAATGGTAACAACCATCATGTTTATTAATCATGAATAAATCACTTTTTACAGTTGATTGTATTTTCGATCAAATGTTTCAAGTAAATTAACAAATATCATTGATATTGTCATTCTTGTTGTGGTTTATGTTCAATTGTGAATCAAATTAAAGACGAACAACAATTCCAATGGAAACACAGGGAAACATGGAAAGTTCAATTTTCTCATTGAGAAAGCATTTGTAAGTAACACTTGTAACTTTAACATTATTATGAGAATAATAAAAGCTGTCACAAATAATATACAGACAGTAGTTTCAGAGGTAAATCTTGAACAATGTCTGAGCAACTTGAATCACAATTGAAATTACTGGTGAAACATTTAAAAATAGCAAATTTTTCTTCAAAAGTAGTAAAGGTTTGCCAATAAACGTTTGCAAATTGCTCATAAATAGGTGTTTCAGTAACAATAATTGCTGTTCAATGTTTCATGTAAAATGCTTAAATCAATGAGTTACTTTATCAAATAATCTTTTTAACAGTTTATGTTGGAAGAGAGAAAAAATTGACAAAAATTTCTAAATTCTAATGTTATTCAGATGCATTCATATGTTATCGAAAGTATCCTAACGTTATCTAACGGATTCCCTGATAGTATTAAAGTGATTCAAGTTTATGGCTTTTGTTGGAAATTATCAAACTCTGAAAATTTATTTACAATTTTCATCGACATTCACTTGGTTGACTGTGATTTTCTGGTTTTATCTGTAAAGCTTGGAATGAATTTCATCAGTTGATCATTTTAACGATTTGGTCAGTTTATGTTAATAGTTCTCGATATTGTCAGGTGAAAACTGAAATTACATGAGACGTATTTCAGTAGAAGAATGAAAAGTAATTTCCTTGGAAGTAACGCTTAATGAAAATTTACATTGAAAAGTTGAACAAGATCGTAAAATAGGAATTAACTTTGGATTATCATTAGGAATAAGTCGAATAATAGAGAAGCTTTCAACGGTTCTATTACAATTTGTTGTCAATCAGAATCTTCTCAAGTGATGTAACTCAGTTTAACTGACAATTTAAAGGCGTGAAAAGGTAGATTCTGATCACTTCCATCATGAAAGCCTTCAAAAAATCTTAAGATTTTTTCCTATTCACCAAACTGAAACTAAAAAAATCTCACTTCTTGCTTTTCCAGTTTTTACAAAACACTATTTTACAATCAAAATAACTTGATTAATTGAAGAAATGAAGGAATTTCATTGCATTCAGAATTCATCAGAATTCACTCAACAAACTGACAGTTATCTCTACATTATCTCAACTCAATATTCATTAATGGACAAGCGAACAGTAAAAGTTGAAAATTGGATAAAACTCCAAAAATCCCTGAATGATTCCAAACGAAATGTTTATCAGAAATCTTTGATTCCAAATAGATTCAACTTACTTTTAAAATGTTGAACCTGCTCACATCACAAAGATCACGACATGCAATTTCAGTTCCCATGTACCAACCCGAGAACGGAGCAGCAGGGAATTCAATTCCTCCAACATCGAATAGCATATTGGAAACGGCTGGAACTGCGTACCATTGAAGGTTCAGTTCTTTGAACCATTCGAAGCTGTTGAAGCAAAAGTAAAATTATAACCAGAACTAAATATTTATCTTTAAAAACTCACTTTGGATGTTCCAATGGAACTCTGAGAATCAATTCTTCCGGAATCACAAACAACTGTGGATCTTGTCCAGACGAAGAGACAACAATCGGTAAAATGTCCCAATTGGTCTTTGCTGGTTTCCAACCCATATTCAAGCAAAGCTGAAACAGAACATAAATTAGGTTAAATCATGTAAAGAATCATGTAAAGAATGTTTAATAATTAAAATGGACCAGAATTATAATGATCATTATCTGATTTTGTTGTTCATTTTTTACTCAAAGTAAACTTTTTTCACAAACATTTTCATTCATGTTTTATATTCAATTGACTTTATTTATACATTCACAATCTAATGGTTAATGGGTGTTGATTAAATGAATTGAACAGATAATTCAGAGTTACTTCAATTCTTATCAATTCATTAATTAGAACTAATGCTTTCCTTTCACTCTTTTGCTCATCAATTGAATACAATCAAATTAAACATTAAACTGAATCAACCGAGTCAGAAAAGTGTGAAAACAGTGAAAACAAAAATATTCATTAAGATAACATTGACAAGTTGAAAACATTGAAAGACTCAAAATCAATTTAATCAACTTTCTATTCCAATAACAATTCAATCAATTAATTTTTCATCTTTCCTCACCTTTTAATCAACTTAATTAACCAACACTTTCAACCAAAATAATTGATAATTTGTATTCACGTTCAAGTTTGAATTACAAAAGGATATCAAACAATATCCATTGAATCAACCATTTGTTAACCTTCAATCCATCAATTGTGTTTAATGTGAAATGATTAAAAAAATGGGTTTTCATTGAAACATTAAATTCGGTTAAATGATTTTCCATTCAATTCCTTTCATTCCTAAAATGATAATAAACATAATCACAATCATCTTAAAGATCAAGATCTGTTTTTGAAGGCAAATCAACAAAATGTTTAATAAAATGTGTTCCCCAACTCTGATCAATTATCGCCATATAGATTTCATTATTACCTGAGTGAATTCAACGTTAATGGGATCACCAATTATATGGCCAGGTCTATCTGGATCAGGATAACCAGCATAAGAAATCAATTGTTGATTCCAAATTCTGAAGTCACCAGAATCACCAGTTCTTTGTGGGAAAATTGTAATCGCTGATCTGTAAGAATAAATTGAAATTTTTATCATTTATTGAACAAAATGGAAAAGAAGAAATATTTTCTTCAAAATTGGGAAAACTGTTTAATGATTTGTTTCAACACCATTTTTCAAGGAAAAAAAATCATGATTCAAATCTGAATAATTCAATGTTGATAGTTGAATACATTTGTTACTATTTTTTGACCAATAAGTTTCGATAAAGAATAATGTTCATCGTTTCTCTGGACTCAACAAAAGGCATCAAAATTCATTCTCATTTTAACAATGAATACCTTTTTGTTCTGATAAAAGATTCCTTCAGATAAATTGATATTTCTCTGGATGGAAATGAGAATAAATTTGCTTTTCTTATTCAATATTGAGCGTAAGTGAAAAGAAGAAAAAAGTTAAGCGAAAAAATGATTTAACCCAAGTTTAGTTCAAGTCTAATTGCGCCTTTTATCAAGAATTATTCAGAGAATGAGAATTTAAGATGAAAAGGAACTTCAAGGGAGATCGAAACAGTGGCCAGTTTCATGGGTCATAATCGCAGAGTTGAAACAAAATGTTCAATTACTTGTTCAGATTAGAAGATAGTGAATGAAAGCAACAGCAAAGATCGCAAAGTGATCTGATACTGAATAATGGGGAAATGTATTCAGACAATTTCCGTCATTATCTTCACCATCAGAACTTTTTCTTCTGTTTACTTTCATCGCCATCAACAGTAGCAGTTGATGATAAAAACAAGGTAAAAATGAGAGCAAAATTGTCATCAAATCTATTCAAGATAATCTTATCTCAATGATAATGTTCATATTTTTTCTTCGCTTTTTGTTACAATCTCATGTTGCACTGTTTCATCCATTTCAGGGTTTAGTTGTTTCCATCATTTCCATCATTTCCATCGTTTCCGAAATCAAATTAGTAACATTTAACTCTTCACATTTTTTTCTTCTTCTTCTCATATTATTTGCAATATTTACACTTAAACTTAACCCAGTTAACCTGAAAACAATCAACCGGGTTAATAAACAGCAGGGAGTTGAACAAGAATAATCAAAAATTCTCATCGTAATATTCAACAATTTCACCGTATTAATAGTGATATTGAGTTGAGCTTCCGAAGTATTACAAGTTGTCAACCAGTAAAGTTGCTCCTTTTGTTGAACCCATCAAAAGACTGTTTTTCAGGATCAACAGAAATTGATTGTTCACTCTTATTATCATTCATTTAAGGGATAAATCATTGTTAATTTACTGTTAATTCAATTTTTGTTTCCCTTTGCCACCCAAAACCCAAACTTGTGACCTCAAAAACTTAACCTAAACTTACAAGTAAAAATGTTGAAAGCTTAAAGGTTAAACAGTTTAAAGATTTACTGGGATTTTTGTTTTTATTGTATATTAAAACTCGCAAGGGATTGGGTTTTAGCCTTTTGTTGGACTTTTTTTCCTGTTCAGACAAATCTTATGGTTCATGACTTGAATCAATTATTTGTTCAATTTTTTATTGATTGTTAATCATCAATTTAGATTAATTGAGATTCACCAAAATCTGATGATTGCCTTTACCAATTGGTTAACTCAATGAAAAATGATTAACCAAACAGGTTAGACTTTCAACTGTAAGAAGAGGTTAAACATAATAGACTTTTATAATGAAAATAATGTTAATAACAATAATGATGATAATCTGGTGTCAATGATAATACAATTAGCTTTTGTATTTTTCAATTCAATGATTCTTGATCAATACGGTTAATAGCCGCAGGTTAAGGCTTTAAATAGGATTTTCATCAGAGTTTGGGTGAACCTTAAGATGGTGTTTGATCAACTGTTCAAGTTCAATTGAGATTCAAATGGGAAAATGTTGATTAATGGATTGACTGTTGAAAGTAACAAAATTACGGCGTAAATTAAATTGTAAAGTTGTCAAAAAAAGTCAATGTTGATTCAGGGAAATCTTTTTTTCTTCTTGGAAACTTTTCAATTTTTCCAGCATTTTCCAGTCATTTTATTTATTGATTTTTAATGTTGTGCAGTTAATTAGTCTCATTAAGAGTTAATTTTTGCTTCAACAATTATTTCAACCTTTGAATCTTTTTCATATTTGTTTCACAAAAACAGTAAGTTTCAAATGATAAATTGTCAGTGTCATTATCAAGGTAATGTAACAATATTTGGAGCAATCATTTTCACTATAATCAATCATCAAGTGAATAAAGAGTCAATTGTAATCCAATCTGATTTATTCAAGTAATAAATGGTAATGTAATCTCAATTGTTGTTACAATTGTTGTTGTATTAATAGTTTCAATATCAAATCAATAAGTAAATCAATGAACTACTCAGAGATAAGGGAAAAAATAGCTTTTTATTTCAGATTAAACATCCTAAAATAAAGAGACCAAAGAAAGGATCAATTACTTAGGAACCTTTTTTGGGTTAAAAGTGAAAAAAAGGTTCAAGAGCAACAACATTAACAAAAAGTTATCTGATCGACTTGAAAACCTTTCAAATCTTTCAAAGGCTATTTTACCTGATTTTATCATCGAGTTCAGAAGTTAATTCATCAAGATCAGGAAGGAAGGAGAGTGAAAAAATGATCAAAAAGTTGAATACTGAATAAAACCAATTAAAAAAATTCAATCAGAATTTCATTTTTCTTGATTTCTGGTAATTTATTTAACTGTTGAATAACGCGCCTTACATAACTCAAGTCATTTCATTGGCTGTTAGCTTTAGCGCTCAAACGTCTTTTCATTTTAAATTTTTTCATTTCTAACTTCTGATTATTTGGTAAGTGAATGACTGTTGTTAATTAACTCTTTAATTATTTTTACTTTATTATCTGATTTTAGGTTGACCATGGATTTAAAGTACTGGACATTTACAGGACATTTGGTGTTTCGGTTAAGTGGATAGTGTAGGAAACATTGGACTATAAACTTGGTGTGGTAAAGCTAGTTAACCCGTTTCTTCATGTTTTTGGGTTACAATTTCTGGATTCAACTATTTTTGAATGGCCATATTGTCTCGATTATTGTCTGGGCAGTTGGTGGAATTAAAAGTCCTGTTTTGGTAATTTATTCAAGAGGTGATGCAACTAAGTGGAAATAGAGTTGAATTATTAGTCTGTGGCTAGTCTGAGTTCATATGGATTGTTCAACTTGCAGAATCACATCGTTTTTTTGTTCCTGAATTCAAATTCCTGGTTAAATACATCAATGGTCTACAAATTTTTTACCCCTTGTTATGTTGGTTACATATCTCAATCTCTAATTACAATGAGACAATCATTAACGAATAATGATACAAAATTTAGTAGTCCAACTCAATTTTTGTTTCAATATGATTCAACAAATGATGCTGATTGTTCAACTTATTCGTCTACTTTCCCTGCAAACCAGGCAAACATGAATATTAATTACAACCTTTTCAAGCTTGAGGCCTTCACAATTAACATGGATTTATTCATCTCTCATAAGCAAAGTTTTTTTTGGTAACTCACATAAATTGAAGATTGGATAAATTTATATAACCTTTTCTCGTCCAACAAATCTTTCGTTCATCAGTTGATCAACAAGACGAACAAAAGACTTATCCACCTCAAAAATTATTAATATAAATGGATCAAACAAGGCAAACATTTGACGATGAAACCACACAAGTTGACAAGAAAAAAAGAATGCAGCCAACATAAGGTGTTATTAGCTGAAAAATCAAGACTAAATCATAATCATCTTTTTATCAATATGTTAAAACGATGAGAAAATTGTTGATTTCTTTTGTTGCATTGATGGTAAACTTTTGTTATTATTGTTGGCGAAAATACACTTTTATTCAATTGAAAGGTAAACTCAAGGTATTCAACTGAACCTATGAACAACTGGTGAAGAGGCAAAAATCCAAAAACCAAAAACTGTAATAGACTGACGAAGCAAAGTGAATCTCATGAGAAAACAGACCAACCTCATGATGATATAAATCTGTTGAAAAATCAAGCTCAAAGTTATCTCATCTTAAAAGGTAAATCTTGGCCACAAAACTCGTCAACAAGCGAAACTGTATATTATCAAGGAAAAAGAGTAAAATCTTTCAAAAAAAATTGTGATAACATTTGGTTCATCTTGGAAACCCTTTAACCAATATCTGAAATAAGAGAAAATATTTCTCTTTTTCTTTTAAATGTTATCATTTTCATCTATTTCCATCATCTTTATCTCAAGCAAAAGCTCATCATCGCAAGCATGTGAATTACCAGTTATTCAATTCCATCCCAACTCATTGCAACATGAAAAATATAGTTTTTCATGAGAAATTTTGGCCAATCTGAGAATCTCAATCAACAAAATCAATTGTAAGTTCTAATCCATTATCATTCTAATTGAAAGCAAATGATTACCATTCACCTCAGGCTTATATCATGTATATTATCAACAAGTTAATTATTATTAGCAAATGAACAATGTAAACTATCATTATTAAAATACATAAATTAATATATTATTACAATTTTCATGTTTATCAACTCTTTTCTCTCTTTTCAGGTTCAATATAAAGGTCCCTATAAACTCATCTGGATATTTCAATTCTGTATTCAACACATTCAACGGATTCAATATTATAGTTCAATTTCATCACCAGTTTAGTTCACCAAATGAGCAAAATACTTCCCAGTTAATTTCAAATTGGAAACAATGATTACCATGAAATATCATTGAAACATATAATTTTTTGCTCCAAAACTAATCAAACAAATGCAGCAAAAAAAGCAATACAGAAGGATGAATCTCAATTTGATTACCGAATCAAAATGATATTTAAAATGAAATTTACAGATTTTTGTTCATTTGATTGACAGAACTAAATTTATCCTGAGAAAAATATTCCTTTTTTTGGTGCAATTTTTGCAACTCGAAATATCAACCTCTAGTTGATTATGATAATGTTTTGTGATTGTTTTATGGATTCAAACAAAACTCAATTTTGTGGTTTCAAATGTTGACAATCAAAATTGTTCAACTCATGAGATAAATGTGAAAAAACTAAACATCTTTGCCAAAATAATCAAGGCAGGGTCAAAATTAAGAGTTAATCAATGAATAGACTAAGATTTAAGATTGAAAAATGAAGGTTCAATGTGAAGACAAATGTCAAATTTTGATTGAAGATGAAGATGATAATCTTATCCATCAATTTAAATATAACTCTGATTAATGTCAAATGGTTTAGTTTTTTTTGATGGATTTAATGGTAAAATTTGATTGTCTTTCAAGAAATCATTCAAATAAAGTGAATTAACTTCAAAAAATGGAGAAAAAATGAAACAAAAAAAGTCATCATTTTGATAGTCAAGTAATTGTCATTGATGCCAAGATGATATCAACTGTAGCTCATGATGATTATAAGATGAAACTCAGAAAAAAAGGTTTGAAATAAGGATCAAATAGATGATGAAAATTTGATTGAGTGAGATGAAAATCATTTGACACTAGATTTTAGTCAATCTCAAGTAAAGTTAAATGTTGAAGTGGAAACATGCAAATAAATGATTACTGTATTAACACGTATTTACATGTAACCAGGTTCCACAATTTAACAATTTAATTAACAATTGTTACCTTAAGTTGCCTTTGTTGGTCGCATATTTAATGTGATTACAAACGGCATCAAACATTTCTTTGGCTGTTGTTGCTGTCCTTGCATCAAATACCTGTAAAGAGACAAGAAAGGTTGATTTAGTTAATTGCCAATGTAAGTTAATCGGTTCATCAGGTTAGGGAAATTTATTCGGAACAATCTGATTACATTTAACTCTTCATCAATATCTATAAATCAAAGTCAAGTATTTAGATTACTATTCAATAAAATTTCAACAAAAAGGTTTCAATTTTCAATTTTAACTTCAGTTTCTATCAAATTTAATCATAATCTGATATTTTAATGTTTAATTAAAGGGTTGAATAGATTATTCTGGATCTTTTGATCTGTTCAATCAACTTTTCATTCACCATTTTTAAGATACAATTCAATTTTATTGAGTCTACTCAAGAGTTTGTTGTTAATGAATCTTCAGAGTTGATCATTATTTAATATTAAAGATTATTATGTAATTCAATTCAGAAGATCTCATTGACAATCGACTGATTAGTTAAGTTCAAAGTATCTTTAAATGAACACGATTTCAATTGTCTTCCAATTTACAGTTTACAATTGATTGTTCAAAGGTTGCCTTTGATTAAAATTATGTAACCTTAAAGTGTGATTCATTTTAAGAGAATGTTAATTTATTACAATTAACAAAGTGTCATCATTCTGAACCAATTTTGAACCTTGGCCTTAATTGTGATTCAATTTAAACACAAATTGTAATTTCAACCTTCAATCGTGTTTAATGATTAATCTACTGTCAATGAAAAGTTTTTCTGGTTCAGCTGAGGAATCAAGTTAAATTGAAAATCGATTGCTTTAAATTGTGTTTGATTGAGACAAACAAAGTAAAGTCCTGTCTGATCGCATTTTAATTGTTTAAAGGTTGATTAAAAAGGCCGTAGGGCTTTAACAATGAATTAATCAAGTGAAATTTTCTCAGTCGTTTACTTTACTGGATTCACAAAAGACTTTGAAAGTGTCAAAATTGATTACTTGTTTAATAAACAGAGACAATTTCACAATTTGTAAATTACTGTTTACTCAACCCTTTACCTGATAAAATCTGACGTTTTACTGGAAAAATATTCCCAATTTAATAGAGCAATAGAGTTCATCTTAAAACTGATTTTTCTCATTAAATTTTGATCATTAAATTTTAGGCTGTTCTTCGTTCATCATTTTTGGAGTTTAATTTTGCACAAACTGTCAATTGTTGGGATTATAAGCAGTTTTTTGTAGGGAAAAATGATAAAATTGGAAAAGGGTTTAGGAAGGTTTAGAGAGTCTGAATGGGAAAATTGTATTCTTACCTGGAGTTTGGACCATTGGATTCGTCCAATGCATCTTGAAGCATTTCTCCAAGCCAATTTAGCACCGTAGATGAGTTCAGTTTCCTTTAATTGGTAGGTACCATGTTTAATGATTGAAGATTTAACTTGATTCCATCTTTCAATATGAGCTGGTGAGTTGACACGCTTAATTGAAGTGTAATATTGATCGAGAAAATTTTTAGCCTGAACAATAATTTCATCAGTAGTTCGTCGATGTTTTGTAGTTGCAACTGATTGTCTCATCAATGAACCAGCACACAATCTGGCTTCACATTGTACAGGCTGGGTTGGGTTGATTGGTTAAGGTTAAAGGGTAAAGAAAAGATGAAAGGTAAAATATTTTCTTCTAAATAAGGGGTAAAGATTGTAAACTTACCTCAATAGCTGATTGATAAAGTGTATCAACACTTGACACTTTTGAGCAAACATTTGTCAACTTGTAAGGTTTATTTTTATTCATTGTTACTGACTTAACAGTTTCAGTAATGGTGTTAATAACAAAAATCACTGGTTAAACACTCAATTAATTCAATTATTTTTCTTATGGAATTAAATGAACAAAGAAACAAAAGATGATTAATAAAAACAAAAAACAGCAAAAATGGTTGGCGACAAACTATTGGTGGGAAAACCAGTGATGTTACCCAAATGACGAATCGGTTAATGTAAAATGTCTATGATTTTAAGAAGAGAAACACAAAAGAAACAAAAGACATGGATGATGATAATTAATAAATTGAATTGGCTAAGAAAGAGAGAAAGTAAGAAATGATTGGAAAAAGTTGACAAGTGAATGAATAGTGAATTAAGTTTCCATGAGTTGTTATATTCAACATTGAAAATGGATTCTGAGATGAAACTTTCCTTCACCTTGATATAAGTATATGCTAAGCTAGGTCATCTGGTGGCTTAGATTGTAACAACACAAAAAAGCCACTTCAACCTTTTTCCTTTAATCATTTTTCATCATTCATCAGCCATCTTTGGATCATCATTAGATCACAATTAATTATCTATTCCTCTCTTTCTGCTTTTCTGTCTATATCTACGTTCTTCTCCATCACTTGCATCTCTTTTTTCAAAAATCTTCCAATCATCTAATCTAATTTTTCATTCTTTCTGATTAAAGAGTTACATCACTTATTTTATGCCATCAGTTTCACCATTTAATTGTTATAATCTCTCATTTTAATCATAATTATCTAGCTAATTCCGTTTTTTTATCTCAACAGAAGCAAGATAAATTGTTAACAATCATCAACTTGTTCAATTTGACTCTTTTAATCAGGGTCAGTTGAACTGCTTACAGGCCAAAGTCTTGTTTCAAAAATACAAAGCTTTACTGGGTTATGTTTACAATCAATACTGTTTTAATTATGCCAATATATTGATGGAAGCTGTTATTGCAGTAAAAAATGACAAGTAATGCACAAATTGAATCACATTTAATCAAGTCTTTCAAGATTGATTTCAAAATAGTTTGATGATAGCTGATGAAGATGAGTCACTTGTTTTTTCCTACAAAATTGTGATTTAGCATGTAGATTTAGTGATCCTACAGAAATAATAGCATATTTATATTGATACAGAATACAAATAATGTTTAATGATCTACAATTTATAAACAAATAACAACTTAGCACACAAATTGGTTCGAACCGGTTTTCCGTAGTTTCCTTCGCATTTTCTTGTTTTTTTTGTTATGTTTTCCTTGCTTCGTCGTTGCATTTCATTTGAAAAGACACTTGTACTGAGCAACACCACCATGATATTGCCATAAAATTATAATCAAAAATTTAAAAAAATTATTGTTATCACAGCTTTTGTCAATTGCTTTGATATGAAAGTTGATTCCATAGAAATGTTATTTTTCTACTTTCATCGATCTCTTCTGGGTACTGCCTCCTCTTCATCCACTAATCTAATCACAGTAATCATTTTCAACAGCTTTAGTCTGAAAACATCAGCATCAAGCTCACCCCGTATAAATCAGGTAATCAACTTTAACCATACAATTGTAATCCAATGGCAAATTCAAAGTTGAAAAGTCGTTTCAATCCTAATTTTTGGTAGAGTAATGGACAGGTCAATAGACAGTATACAGTTTCTCCATGTGTTTAAATGAACTTCAATTAAATCCGAAGTTGTTTTTGCCAGTTAGTTTCATACTCTTTGTTGTTGTTGATACAATTGATTGTATTGAACAATATACAGTCAGGTCCAAAGAAGACTCAATTTTTGATGAATAATTGAGAATGCGAATGGGGAAAGAAGAAGATGAAACCAAAGTACATCACAAGGCTGTGACATTGACGATAAAAGTACAATTTCAAGATGAGTTTATCCAACAAATGAAGAGGTACAGTAAAGGTAGAAGTATACGTAATGGATGAATGGTCATCTAATGGTCAATTTTTTTATCTTTCCAAATCCTTTATTGTCTCCACGAGTCTTGATCCTTTGATTTTAATTGCCTCTAACAAACTTTGACTGATTCAAGTTGAGGTCTTGTAGCATAACCTCTGACCTTTCCAGTTTAGTTTCTAGTTTTGATTTTTTGCCAGGAAAAATGTTCTTCACGATGTTCTTTATGACGATGTTTCTTCAACACGTTACATTCGATCCAGCAATGAATTTACTTGCATTTCAATGTTCAATGTAATTTGTTTTGCCTCAATGATTTGATTTTTAGGGCACTCTGTATTTGAATCAGTTTCTGGTCAATCATTCTCATAATATAGATACTAATTGAAAGATTGAAGAACTGTAATGGCGTCATCAGCTAATGCACGATGCTCTTTGGTGAGTTGAACGCAACATCTCAAGTTGAGCTTTGATGCTGATATGAATACTTGAATGTTATATAATCAAACTTAATTGAATAATACTCAAAATACATATTTGTTCAGGTTAAATTGAAAGGTATCCGTTTTTTTTTTCATTTCCAAACAATGATGTATATTTTGATTCCGTTCACTCCTTTAGGGTACTTGTCAATCGTATAATTTGTTTTTCATTATGTTGATACCAATTGATTGAGATCCGTCAATAAGATAGCACCAGTAAGCCAATTGAAGTTTCTCTTTTGGGTAAAAAAATGAAAAAAACATTGAATAAAATTGATAATTCAATTCATTACAAGACTTGATTCTGCTTCCGTGATGAAATAAAACGCATGATTACTGTTATAAATAATCAACAACCAATAGTCTTATCAGTTAGAATTGAATTGTTAGCATGATTCAATATTTTGTAATGAAGCTCTTGAATTGATTAAATAACGATCAAGATGATACATACTTGTTTTGCATAGGTTTGGTTGATGGTGGTAACAGTGATCCAATATCGTAGTCAGTTTATTTCTGTAAGAACCAATTTTGACCAGACTTTATTTGTATCACATTGTTCCTTGATTAAACAATAATAGATTCAAGATCCAAATATATTATTTACTTTACCTTGTTCAACCAACTTATCTAAACGTCCTTGTTTATCAATATAATTTACAAACTTGTGATCAAGTTGATTCTCACATAGATTCACTATCAAGTTTGTTGAAAACAGGCAACAGAATAGAAACAAAGACTAACAAGTGAATCATAAACATCTCAAGATGATCACCTGGGCTATCAGTTGTACACAATTTACTGGTCAGATTTTGAGTTTTAATCCGTTTATGAAGGCTCTTTTGGTAACATGATACATCACAAGAGTATGAAACAAACATCACAATAAAAACAAATAAATTGAAGCTAATTTGTTATGAAAATAGTAAGCTTACGTCAACGGTCAGCTTACGTTACAAAAAAACCGTTAAATATTGCATAGTTCTGAAAGCTGTTCATAGAGGACACCAGATAATCCATTTACCAAAAACCAATTTCACTTTTCAATTGACTTTGATTTCATTTAATTGTCAATAAATATCACTCTTCGATGGCCTACCATTTATTTTAATTAATATTAGTAATTATCAAGTCTCATCAATGATCATCTATGGTTACCGAACTGGACTGACGCTAGATAATCTATATTTAACCCTGTGATTGACCTAAGCTCGTTTATTGTAACCACATCAATTTGTTTCTATTTGCCTGTTAACTTAATGGACCAATCTTTGATTAAATGACCATTTCTAAATCTTATTATAATGTGCTAATACTTCCATTAATATTAATTCAACACTTGTTTTGTCATGTCTGGTTCTTTACACAGACATTGTCTACTGACTGGATGGTAACCAGAAAACCAGATTCCCTCAGAATCCTTCAAGTTTCGTCTTATAACTGGCTTGGTCAACCTTCTTCAATGTTGTCATTTTTGGTACTCTTGACTTACTCTACGTCTCAACTTTTGGCCCCTATTTATTTTGTGTTATTAGTTTTGATTAGCTGGTTGACCATCTTGCCTTGATTATACAATGGACCAACCAGTGTTTGTTGGATAATACCTGAAAGATGGCAGATTGAAAGACTATCTCTTCAGTAAGGAAACCTGGCAGACCATCTTGTTTACTTATAAATTAATCCTAATTTAATCTAATATTAACCCATGATGAGCATGGAGCAAATCTCTTGTTTGGCGAAATATCATCTTGTTTCATTTGATTCTCAGCGTTGATAATGATCGTTAAATTACTCTGACTATTGTGAGAACAATGATAACTACAATAATTGGACAGAAAATGAGACTTTTTTCGCCTGTCTTTTGTTCATGTCTTCATTTGTGTACAAAGTGATATCATCATCGTATTTTACACCATTTTAATTTCCCATCAACCTAATAACTTAAATGTGTTTTAATCACTTTAAAAGAGAATCCCCATTTTAACCGGAAGAATGATAAAAATCTGAAAGAAAAAGCAAAATTCTGTATTTAAAGTATCCAACAACATTTCCAAGTTTCAACTTTCTTCTTGCTGTTTATCAACTTCTCATGTTGAGATGCATCCAAACCGAAGACAGTTATAACCTGATGTAGATGGATGCTGTTAAATGATGATGCGTAGGTTGAAATAACAACATTGTGGTCTCATATTGTTCAATCTTACCCATGTAATAACCTCATTTAACCTCAACAATTTGTGATCATTTAAAAACCGGGTAAACAAGATTCCATGCCATCAATTTTAAAGTGTACACTTTTACCTCAACTCAGTGCCATTTCCAAGACAATCATGACAAGCTATTCTAATATCAATAATGATCATTTCCAGCACAGCTAAAGTGAAATTTGATAGGCAATAATTAACCCGAAATTATATTTTCCAGCTAAAAACATGTGACTTTAAAAATAAATGGAAACCAATGGAAACCCATTTCAATCCAGCTTACAATACGAAATAATTGGAAATGAATAACAGTCAAATGTTTCATGAGTTATCAGCTTTATTAAGATAACTAACAAGCTAAAAGTTTGCTTTTTATTTTTGATTCATATTGTATTGATACAATTGTTACTGATAAAGATATTTTTTCATATTTACAGGTAGAATCTTTTTTCTGTTTTTCAAGATAGACTTTTTGTGGTCAAGGAAGGAGAAGCTTTTTGATGGCGAAAAAAGGTCGCATTTTGTTACAGATGCAAGCAGCATTAAAAGTTTTGTTGTTTGCTTTTTTCAATGGATTCTGTGGGCGGTTTAGCTGAATCCTGAATGATTCCTTTGAAAGGTGAAGGCCAGAGTAACCTAGGATCCTGGTAATGAACCTGGTTCTTCATAGAGATCAGCATAGATGAGATCAGCCGCTAAGTTATATCCAAAAGGCTTTTGTGTAATATCATTTAAAGAGTGAAGGAGAATCAAGAAGATGAGATAAACAAAATTAGAGAGAGGGAGAGATAGAGAAAGATGATAAAGTAAGATGATAGGGAAGAGTCAGGGTAAAGATGATGGAGTGAGAGAGAGAGCGAAAAATGATACTAATAATAATAGAAATCATAATAATAGTATAATAGAATGAATGAAAACAAAGGATGAAATGAATTATAATACAAAGACAATGATGGTCAGAAAACAAAGAGTTTTTGCAATATATTTTAGTGTTTGGCTGCTTTTATAAAGTCTCTTGGTTAATTGTTGTTGACGATGATGATGATGATTGTGATGGTCCAATGTTATTAGTTATTCTTGCTGTTGATTTGTTCCCAGAGACACAAGTTGAAAAAAAGGTTCTTCTGTTTCTTCTTCATCTTCATCATCAACATCATCTTCTTCAAGGCCATGAGATGATTTTACAGTCACAACGGGATGTAATTATCATCAAGGGTGAGGAGGTATGAAGGGTGGAAGAGAGTTAAAGGTAAGAGTTGGATCACGTAAGTGCAATGATTAACCTGGTGCTAATGTTGACAATGTTAATGATGGTAATAATGAGTGAAACTAAATGAAACAAACAGTAATCTTTTTTTGGGTTGTTGGTGAGTAAAAGATAACAAAAGGCAAGCAAAAGGAGGACTTCATGTACATCCATGTAAATGTATCATTGGATTTGATCAATATTGCCATGTTCTGGTTTTTTAATGGGTAAGATGTTAATTGTGTGTTGGTCAACTTGATGGCGATGGGTTAACAACAGAAGAGCTTGGATTTTGGGTTTGTCAACAGATTGAGGGTGGCGAAGGTGTCTTATCAAATCGTAGGACAGCATAATCACTTATACGGGAGGAAGCGTAATGAATTTGATGTGATGGAGATGACAATTCATTTGTTGGTTGATGATAGTGGTGAGGTGAGGTGAGATGTTGCTGGTGTTGATGTCGATGATTATTTAATATGGACGGAGTTAATGATGTATACTGATTTTGAGTGTAAGGATAAGATATAGCTTGGTTAATGTTAAATGGTGAACTAAGCTGGTGATGTGAATGGTTAGCTGCTGGTGGACTCGGTGTTGCTGTTGCTGCGGTCAAACTTTTGTTAAATGAATTTAGGTTAAGTTGACGTTGTTGTTGTTTAGTAATTAACTTTGAAACATAATCGGTATTAGATAAACTATCAACAATGTGATTGTTCAATTGAAGTTGCTGGTTATGGTAAGAGTTTAACGTTGAATTGTTGAACTGGTGACTCTTTGGGTGTTTAGATGCTGTTAAGAGGGTTGAGTTTTTCCTATGTAAGTCAGAACCAGTAATCAGGTTAGTATTCATTTGATATCCTTTATTGTTAACTAAATCATTCTCATCATAGGTTAATTGTAAATCAGCATAAACAATATTCTGCTCTAATGGTCCATATTTAATTGAACCCAATTCCTGTGAACAAACAAAACCAGAATAAGCACAATGCGAAAAAAAGCAGTAAAGATATCAATACAGATACAAAAATACGGATACTTTGTTAATCGATATTAAAAGATAGCCATTAAAAGCATAAAAGCTGGTCATGCTTTAAGCTGTAAAAATGTAATGCCGGGTTAACTTGAAAAGTGAAAACAATAGCTATTTAAATTAACCTTGAATATTGTGTTTACTTTACAATTAACAAATCAACAGTGATCAGTAAACTGTAACGATTGTAATTGTGCCCTATGAACTTAGTAAAGCGATTTAAATTGTCTTTACAATGCCAAAAATGGAAGCTATGGAAGTCTTTTTTTCATATTTTTCTTGCGTGACAAACAATCATAATTACGTTAATTCAATTGATGCTTAGGATTCAATTTTTTGTTGCCTACATAACGTTGAACCTGTATTAAGGATTAATATTAATGTGAACATCAGGTATTATTTGGATAAATTAATCGTCGATTAAATGCTCGGTAAGTTCATTTTTTGACTTTGAATTTGAATTTAGTTTTTCTTCTGACATTTTTGCGATCGTCTGTATTGTACAGCTGATTCAATGATTTTGATAATCAACTGTATGATATTTTAATCAGCTAGATTCATGCTGGGTTTGATGATAGAAATTGAAACAGAATTTTAATTTCCTTTTTTCTCATTTTCTCTGACATTTTTTTCCATCTCAATTTTTATTACAGAAATTCCTACCCACAATTGAAATGCTGGTCAATATTATCTTGTAAATTATTATCTAATATAAGCTTATAAGGCGTGACGAGATTTGATTGACAACTCAGGTTATTTTGGATGCTTCTTATTTTCTTTATTCTTGTGATGCTGAGGATGAAAGTAGCCACAAGATGTAAAAAGCTGATGATAATAGTCACTTTTTGATGATGAACAAGATGAGTTAACATGTTAAGTATCTTGTTATTGTTGATGATAAGTATTCATGAAATTGTTGATACTATCAATGAAAAATGATGATGGTGATGATAACTGGACAACAAGCGAATCAATCATTCCTGGTTATACCAAAAATATGAAGCAAATTAAATTAGATTTCAACATTGAATGAGTCAAGGAAATGATAAGAATGTTTGATTAAAAAAATGCGATATTTATCAAAGCAAGGATAATAATGAATATGGTAATAACAAGAAGTATTGTCTGGTTAATTATATATTTAATAAGTTCAATTTTCCACTCAAAGATCAGAGGTTTAATTAGGTAACAATCCCTCAGCTCTTAGTCATCTTTTGCATTTTCAAAAAATTGAATAATTTAACGGTTCTTTGTTTAATAACTAATGTTATTTTTTTTCTTGTTTTCCTGTGACATTTAGATTAATAATTATCATTCTAACTTCATTAAAAGTTGACTTGAATAAAACCTCATGGATTGCTGTGGATATATCTTATGTTCCTGTTGTTGGTGTTAATATTTGATGGAACCATTGAAAGTCTAACTCTTTTTTTGGTGGACTTCACTTTTGGGTTAATCCTTTATCTATTTAAATTTGTGTTGGCATTGGATACTTAATTTATTGCTGAACTTGGACATCAATTAATCTTCTGTTTGACTTGAGCAAGCCAAAAGTTCTCGTTTGCTTTGAATTATCAAGCCAAGGATAGATTAAAGTTACGCATCCCTTTACATTAACACTTTGACAATCCAGTTTTATTCAATTTTCACCAGTTTTTTTTCTCTTGCTGTTAATTGGGATTAATATTTAAAATGGATGATTTTGGGTTCTATTCTTGTTCATACTTTATCACCATCATCATCATTTTCATCAATTGTATCTCTTGTTGTGAGATGAGAAAAGCAAGTTACGGTTTCGTTGTTTCCCAAAGGATGATGAACGTTTTTCTTCAATGATTGATAATGGAAAGATGGATTTCATTTACAAGGCAACCAAGGGAGGAAGACGAAGAAGATGATGAAAGCGATGGAGAAAGTAAAGTAAAAGAGGGAGTCATGAGGAAGGAAAGCAAAATCATTGCAATTGATGCCCATGAACCGTATCAAGAAAAAGTTGCTCTAAATATTAGTTGAATTTTTCTTCTGATTTTTTTTCTTCTTGCAACGTTGTAACTAGCATGATGATAAAAAGCCCAAAGTTAGAGACAGAGTGAGAGACAAGATGAGATATGAGGCTATGAAGATGATGAGTACAAGTTGGAAGTGTAAAGTGAACGAAAGTGTGATTTATATTTGACACTGATTCAGTGATTGAGAGTAAACTTTTTTTTCATTCCAAGATTGAATGTTTTCTTCATTTTCTGGTTATATACTGGTCTGAATTTTTTCATTGGTTTGTAATAATAATATCATAATGAAATACTAAACTCTCTCTTTCTCTCTCTCTCTTCCTCCTTAGATCATCCAAGCATTGTTAAAGAGAATCAATTTTATCCCTTGGTCTGATCATCGTCATCATCATTATCATCAACCATCAATGATCTCCATTAATCTGTTAAGGTTAAAAAGTTTCCTTTAAAAATACTTAACTCACATTCATCTCATCCACTAACACTGATTTTTTTTTATAAATTATTATCATTACTTTCTTCCTTGCATCATCATCCTCTTCATGTTAAATGATTACTATTACATACTGAATAATAACATTGAATTTACATTAGAAGAACCTTGTTGTTATTCAGATTAATATACATTAGATGGTTAGACATTTGACAAATGCCAAACTCAATGTTTAAAGAGCATTTTGTCTCAAAATATTCACCAATCATTATTCATTCTTAGTGTTAGTCATGATAACATCCCAATCATAATCATGGTAAACTTGGAGAGAGAAGAAAAAAGAAAGCAACAGAATCAGAGTAAAAATGATGAACAAAAAGTAAGGTCACAAGGTTAAGAAAAAAGATGAACTTGTGAAGAGAGAAACAAAAAAACCTTTTTAACCCTCAATTGAAAATAGATATCATAACTTACAAACAGCCAAAATTGCACTCATGTTAACAAGTGAATTAAAATTATATTTTTTCTCCTTTTCTTTCTCATCCAATTTAGGCAACAATTTTCACCCTTTAATTGACAACCAAGGAATCTTTACTACATCACTTCGCTACATCAGGAATGGAGAATCACAAGAGATGATAAAAGAAGAAGAAGATGAAGAAATAACTTTCGATTTACTAACATCATCTTTTATTCTCATCTAATATTCATGGTTTTCTTACCTTATTATCTTCTTCCATCATCATCTTCCTTTTTCTTGATAACTCATGAAAAGCCTTTCCAAGATGATGTTATATAACCCTCATGAGAGATTCAGTTTACTTCTTCTCTCTTTTGTTAACCAAGAAAAGGACAACAAACTGACCTGGTCACTTTACCTTTATCATTTTTCTTCACTCATCAACATCATCATTATCTTCTTCTTCTCCTTCTTCTTTTTTCTTCTTTTATTACGAGAAAAACCATCAACATTGACTACTTTTTCTTGAAGAGAATTTCCATTCAATTGTCACCTTAACTTTTTCTACTCTTTTTTCGCCATTCTTTTCATGTGGATTCTCAATATCATCTTGAACATCTTCAATCATCTTCATCCATTCCAGAGACAGGATAACAACAATGGCTCATTCAAACAAGAAAGGATAATTTCATTAGAAGCCAAAATATTAGCCAACTTATAATGAAAAGTCAAGTCTAATGCAATGCTCTTGACAAGAGTTGCTAACCAGATGATAATTATCAATTGAATCAAATCTAATAACCAATCAATTTGCTGGAACGATGAAATGTTGAAACAAATTAATGAGAATTGAAATTTGGTTGTGAAAATTTGAAACAAACCTTTTATTTCTCATTGTTTTAACAAACTCATCTTATCATCAACCGAAAACTGATTCATTGAAACTGCAAAATGGACTTATCATTGCCATTCAACATCATCTTCACTCAAGAAAAGATAAGAAAATGAGGATTGAAGAAGAAGAAGAAAGATGATAGAAGTCACAGGATTCATGGGAGAGTGAGCTTAATGAACGTCAACAATGCATGACCAAAATCGCCTTTGATAGCCAAGGGAGAAATGCAAAGAAGATGATAATAAATATAATGATGATGTTGATGAATAAGAAGCTACTGAAAAAAGCTGAAACGGAAGATGATGACCTGCCAACAACCTTTACATGACAAAAGTAACCCTACAACTGAATACTTTTTTTCATTCAAGACAACATTAAAAGATTACGGTTTCACTTGAATCAAAGTTAAAGATTAAAAAAAAGATGACAAAAGGTGAGTAAAGAGAATGGTATTTCAATGTGTTCAAAGAGTCATAGATTTGTGAATGATGTTCATGGTGAATATGATAATTGATGAAATTATTTACCAAAGGTAAATAACCTTAATTTTTAGTTGAAAATGTTCTTGTTCCTTAAAATGAATTAACTTTAGAGTCTTTTTTTGACGCAAAATGCTGACTACTTTTGTTCATCAAAATTGTTTACTTTTAATAATAACTAAATAATGTTAATGATTCTTTATTTGATTATAATTATCATGATAAAGCTGATTTTTAACGCGTGTTCTGTCAAGATAATGACAGTAAACCGGCGCTGGTAATAACGGTGATTAAAGTTAATATAATCATCAGTTTTGTAAACTAATAGAAACAAGATCTAATTAGATCAAAAATAGAACCCAGTTGAGGTCAATTTTGCGTTAAAATCTTTTCTTGTCACAACTGACTCAACGACTAAACATTGGTCTAAATGAATGTTGAGACCAACTCGATGGAATGAAAATTTTCAAATAAAATGGAAATATTGACTTCTCATGATTTTTTGTCATGAAAGGTGAATTTCTTGACTCATTAGGGTCTCAACTTCCGTTGGTTCTTGAGCAGCTCTTGGAGTTACTCAACAAAATCTTGCTCTTAAAGATCAACCTCTTACCTTGGATAATAATTGTCTTTGTTTTTGTGTTGACCA